CATTAAACCCTCAAGCACGAGGTTTTTCAAGAAAAACAATTAAACGAGAAATTATTCGTCAGTATAAAAATGGAAAAATAAATTTGGCAAATTTTTTTCTTAATTTTAATTCTCGTGTTGCTATTTGTTCTGATATTTGGAGTGAAACTTATCATAATTTGTCTTATATGGGTGTTACTTGTCATTGGATAGATAGTGATTGGATTATGCATAAACGTGTTCTTACATTTCGTGATTCCAATGAACAACATACTGCTGAAAATATTTTCCTATTGCTTCAGAGTATTCTGCGGGAATACAACTTATCTGACAAAGTGTTTTCATTTGGTTTTGATAATGCTACTAATAATACTACAGCCATTCCTAGACTTAGAGAAATTTGCCCACCGTCTACGGCTATGGGTAGATTTCTGCATCAACGGTGTGCCTGTCATGTTTTAAATTTATGTGTTCAACAGGGACTAGACTCTATGGGCGGAGTTTTGACGAATATTAAAGAAGGAATTAAAAGAATTTGGGGGGCTCGTCTTGTTTCGAAAAATGGAAGATTTTCTGTAAGTCTAAAGGTAGAAAAGAAATAGTTTTTGCAAAAGATATCCACATTAGATGGAATAGTACATACAAATTGATTCATCAGATTCTAAAATATAAAGAGGAACTTGCTGAATTTTTTAGTGATGAACTTCGTATAATCATTGATCCTTTTGAATTTGTACTTGTTGAAAAATTGAATGCCGTATTAGAAGTTGTTTTAATAACGCAACTCTTACTTTTTCTCATGTTTACCAACCAACTACAAATACATTTTTAAAAGAGTGCGTTACAATCGCAACATGTTTTCGTGAAAGTAAGGCTGATCCAGATTTGTACCCATATGTCTCTCCTATGATACAAAAATGGTGTTCTTATTATTTGTACATTCCTGATATTTATAAAATAGGTATTATTTGTGATCCACGCTTTAAAATTGAAAATTATAAAATTTTAATTGATTATTACTACAAGTGTTTTTTAGATGAANAAAGGGAAGCGTGCTCATTCTTCGACGAGTTCAAGTGGTACAACAGTAAGCTCGCACAACGAACTTGCTATGTACCAGGGTGTGCCATGCGATTACGATGAAGACGAAGTGGATTTTGACGTGCTCGGATGGTGGAAGCGGAACGAACACATGTTCCCATGTCTCGGCATGCTAGCAAGACAAGTGTTATCCGTTCTGGTATCAACCGTAGCAGTTGAACGAGAATTCAGTGCTGGCGGCAACATTCTAACCGACTTTCGAAGTTGTCTTAGCGCTGAATCTCTTGAAACACTTGTTTGCAACCAATATTGGCTCTTGGCAAGACGTCGAGCTCAAGAGTCAACGTACCAACTCGAACGGAGCATTACATGAATGCAACAACAGATGGAAGTCCGAGTTCTGAAGAATAACTTATAATTTTTTTTTAAATGTAAATATGTAATTAGTTTTTTTAGCTGAGCGATATATAAGCTCCTTCGAGGGTTTCTTTACGGTTCTTTACCTCGTCGCTTTTTTTGAACCGTCAGGATATTAAATGTGGTTGTTCTTCAGTTAGTGTATAATTCATTTAAAATATTTAAATAACAACTATATTTTTAGATAACAACTACATTCCGGTACTTCATTCTTTCCTTAAACAATTACAAATTTAAAATTTTATACTTAAAAATTTTAAAAAAAGCAAAAAAAAAATAGGGGAGGGGCGAAACCGGCCGGTCCGGGAACCGGAACCGGTACCGGCCGGCACGGTGACAGTTCCGGTGACATGGGGTGGCGGTACCGGAACCGGCGGTTCCGGAACCGGAACGTACCGGAACCGTACCGTGTCCACCCCTAATTAGAGGCACAATGTACTCCGTATATAAGTAGCCCAGCAGTCCAGCACCTAGCCCAATTCAAAGGCCCATCTTTTAATCGTCCATTTCTTCTAAGCCTTTTACTTGGTACGCAGAAAGTAAGTCGCAGAGCAGAGACGCAGAAGCTCGCACGCAAATCGATCGGCAAAGTGCCGGTAGAGACACCTCCGCCGCCGCTAGACGCCGCCGACCCTCCAGGTATTTTGCATTCACTACTCACAAGCTTTCCAATTTTGTAACTTTTTTCTTTCTTTCATAGTTTCATTCTTTGGATTTAAAATCTAGGTTTAATTATTAGTTTTTAATTTGAAATCTTTGCTAATTGCTATGAAATAGAATGAATTAATGGTTCTATATGTTCTCTATTTGATTTGGATGAATTGATTTGAAAAAGAATGAATTTATGATATATATAATTAATCTATAAAAAAACTGAAAAACAAAAAAAAACTGAAAACTGAAATATAAAAAAAACTGAAAAATTGACGCATTGATAAGAATTTGCGATACGTATAAAAATATGAAAACTGAAAAAGGAAAAAAATAACTGAAAAATTGACGAATTGATATGAATTTATGATATATGAATTTATTTCCTTGCTTTTTTATATTTATGTAATTATAATACTATGATTTTGTCATTTTTTTTCTGCTAATAACATTGCGTTAATTATCAATTAAATATAATTGATTTACATATGTTAACTTGTTACACCATTAGGGATAAGATTTTTAGGGCCTTTTTTTTCTGTTTCGGCCCAAGCCGATGAATTTTCAGGACCAGCCCTGAACGAGCTATAAAAAATGTAAAATGAGAAGGAAAATTGAAGACCTTACATAAGCACCTGATAAGTTTACATTAAAAGAATCACATGAGACCATACAAAAACAAGAACATGTAAATGTGATTTAAAAATTTTTTACTTCACATTTTCAATCTAGCAAATATTATACTTAATACAAAACTTTTTTAAATATTTCAAATATGACGTACAATAGGGCCAAAATTATATTTTGCACAGGGCCTCTATGGGCTTCGAACCAATGCTGCTCGTGTTTTTGCTAATCTACTTCTATCATTTTTTTCAGTATGCATGTTGTATGTTTTTACTTTCTCGTCCCAAATAAACTTCACACTTTGATATTTACTTTTCGAGGAAATGTACGTTAGAATGCGTGGCTCCCACAATTTATTTCTTCAAAACAAATCAAGTGCCACACATTTTCACTTTCTAACACTTACACTATGCGAAATCAATCTATAATGCTTATTATGGGAGGGAGGGTGTATATGATAGGCAGTCAACAGTTTTGTTGAGTTATTATGAAATTTCAAATACAATATTGTTTTTTTCCATGGCCTAATTAATATAGATTTATGTTTTACACTAAACCTTAAAATCAATGTATGTCTACTTATAACTTTATTAACCTTTTCTCAATTTTTCTACAAGGCTTCATTATATCGATTAAACTTCATTTGGAGGTAACGTCATCAAGCCAATGGATGATGCTGGTGGATTGAGCTACAAACCTCCCCCTGATTTTGAAGAGGATAAAAGAGACCCACTCATTGAACTTAAGTTAACAGATTCAACTGAACTCTGGCTCTTGCAATGGCCCCTAAATCATGTATGGATCCTTTCACCTCTCGTTTCATTTCATATAATATGATCCCTAGATCTTATTATGAGAAAAAACTTATCTTATTTATCTTTATTGAGAGGTATCTCAATGTGTTCTCCTCAAGGTTGTTAAAATCGTGACTTGAGTTGTAAGATAGTCCGATCTAGCAAGTAGGAAAGGGTGGGATGATCTATGTTATTGTTCAGATTGAAAAATGGAAATCTTCCAAGATCGTCGAGCTGGATCCCTAAATCTCAAGCTCCCAGGTCAATTTGATTTAGCAGATACGGAGCACCGGGTCGGGTTGTTGAATGTGTTGTCGATCCTTGTGCACATTTTTCGTTTAAATGAAGTGTGTTGTTAGTAACTACAGAGAGGGTGGTGGGTTGTAGTCTCTGTGCGTAACTACATGGGGTGGGGGCTACAAACTGTCGTGACCTTCGTTGTTTGAGGGTTGTGTGAGTCGAAGATGAAATGGAGATGGTGGGAAAGTCAATGTAATTTTTACAAGGCATAAATCTGCATACCCAGTCAAACCGGGAAGCAAATTTATGGATGGAGGGAGTAATATATAATCAGTTCTAGTATAATATAGGCACAATAATGTTAATGTGGAAGCTAAATCGGTAAAAACCACGGGCCTTCTTTTGGAGGTATCCTGCCAAGGGATGTGTATTTTGTATATATTGGGGGTGTACATGTATAATATAGGCTCAGCATTTCATCAACCATTGCTGGAGCTTGAAGTGATATTAAGGAGATGGAGGTTGGTAATTGTAGAGAGAGTGTGTATGATATGTATGCATGTTGGTGGAGGCTCTCCTTATTAAGTATTCTAGCCCCCCTTCTATAGATAAACAAGAACCCTTAAGGTTAGGGTTTATTGATGTGTTTTGCTCCATGGACCTGCTTCTTAAACCACTCCCCAATATTATTGGGCCTGGGGAAAATCATTCCATCAGGTAAAATGGCTTTTCAAACTAGTAACATTACCTTTGGCATGCAACAGGCTCCAGATTTTGATGGTCTAGAAGTGTCTCTTGGGCTTCATCATGATGGAATTTTAGGCAGCTTTGAGAGTTCTTCTGGCAAGTATTTCTACCGAATTTAAGGCTTTTGTGTTTATGTTTGATAACCCTTCTTTCTTACAAAATTTGACCAACAAATAGGCACTATGATTGATATATTTTGGAAAATGTTGTTCTTGTTGACAGGAAAGGCTTACGATGTTTACAGTAGAAAAGCACAGGATCCAGAGCTAACAGTATTTTCATCATCATCATCATCTTCTTCAGACGCTAACATTGGTGCGTGTTTATTTTGTTCTTTCATGTATCATGCATTCTTGTAGTCTGTTTTTTAAAGGCATAACGCGTATATGATTATGCTTGCATGCGTAATGCATTAATAGGTAATAAGTTCTAAAGTTAGGCATGTTCAGTCTGCTGGCATGGTTTGCAGTTGGAAGTTCAGAAACCTAGCTACCAGCTCCAAATTGGACATGCTGGCATTTACTGTAGCAGTTCCCTACATATTTTGCATTTGCTCCAAAAGTATCCCCATTTTTTATTATAAAATACCCTCCTCTTCCTAAACAATTTCTCTATTTTTTAATCAAATGCCTTTACCATCAACCCAAAAATTGCCCTTATTACCAATTTTAAATCACAACATCAACCCTTCAAACAAACACTCAACTCAACATCTGAAATTCTCAACACCTGTCCTAACAGCAAAAACTACAAAAAGCATCTTTATACTTTTACTGAACATGTCAAGGGCATGTTTGGATGCATCTTTAAAATGGCTATAAACAGTTGTGAATGTGCTGTGTTTTATCTGTAAGTTCATCAAATGATTAAAGTGTTGTGTTTTTATCCAATGAAACACTCTGGGTTTTGAGAAAACAATACAAATTAGCCTGTTCACTTTTCAGTAAACGCATTCTTTGAAAGTACTTTGAAACAAGCCTGAGCATGTTTGAATGAGAGCAAATAGATTCATTTCCATACAGTCCCTTGTGCACTAGCTCTGACTGAATCAAAAAAATGTTCCGAGTACATTTGTGTTTAGTATGCCATGCTCTTAACTTTGTGTGGGGTATGTGTGTTTGGCAGTTGGGACGTTTTCGCGCCATGTTTCCTTCATCCACTATCCAGAGCCAAGTGAATATGAGAAAGCCAACCAAATTAGGTTGAAGGAGTTCTCACAGAGGTCTTCAAGCTACACATCAACAAAGACAGGTTCAACTTTCCATCGTTCGAGTGCTACTAAAAGTAGCAGGCATAGAACTTCTTCACCATCCCCAAGTGTCTTCACCACATCCCCTGCTCCCAGTAGTCGACACAAAAAGTCCTCTCCAAAGGAAAAAGGTGGCGGTGAGAGTGCGAAGAACAAGACTGTGGGCCCGTCTTTGCTGCTGCCGGAGGATTCTGGAAGAGCCACTAGCACAGTAACCACTTCTGGGTCAGCAGGCCAACATTCTCAGGAAAGGACATCCAACAAGAAGTCCAGGAAGAGTTGAGGCTTCAAACTGTAATGGAATTTATATCTTTTTTCCCCCTCTTTGATTGCAGGATTTGGGGGGGGGGGGGGGGGGGG